AAAAAAAAAAAAAAAAAAAAAAAAATGCCACCAGCACGCTCCACGGCATAGGGAACAATTCAGACTGCTGTTTGCATTCCCAACTTACCATCACCATGAAATAGAAAAGAACACAAATATCAGCCTTAGTTACTTAATTAGTCAACACAAGATAATATGATGTGAATATTAACAATGGACCAATAAATGTTTCAATTGCAAACTGGAAAAATCTACCAATCTTGTGCTAAAATAAAAATTTTTATTTCCCTAAATAATCCTTGGATTCCTCAGATTTTGATTCAGTTTCTGTGGAAAGCATAAACCAGTTTAGAAGCAAAGTCCTTAGCATCCACACACAGCCATGGAATTTCAATTCTGAACCTTAATAAAACCATAAAGTCAGCTCTGCCATTATAAATTCCACTTACCTTTGCTGTTTCATAATAGAGTCAAAACCAATAGTCTCCACAGGTTTATTTCCAATTGTAACAATTTGTTCTTTTCCATCTTCCTCCAGTTCATCTTCTAACACATAGCGGTTCTTAACTGCAGTAAGAAAGTCTATTCCAAAATTTACCTTTTTCGGACGAATAAATGATCCTCCTGTGGGGTGCCTGGAAAAGAAGGGCAATGACACAACAGAAAATATTACCCACCAAGAAAGGCCATAAATGCAATGTTCTGAAGGTCTTCAAAAATTTCTATATGCTAAAAAATCAAAATCAGCATAAAAGGGAATCTAATATACTAATATATAATCAGTATGATTCACCATAAAGGGATATGAGCTTATGCAAGCATGTTAAATACCTATAAACAAACAAGTAATATGAAACTGACAATTCACATTAGAAAAAACAGAAGTATTAAATCCATGGGGGTGGCCAGGCACAGCCACCTCCATGAATTTTTATTTTCCTATTAAATAATAGAATTTTTATTTTTCTATTAAAAATACAAAAATTTTCTATTAAAATACAAAATTAGCCCGGCATGGTGATGCATGCACACCTGTAGTCCCGGCTACTAGGGAGGCTATCGGGAGAATCGCTTATCACTTGAACCTGGGAGGTGGAGGCTGCAGTGAGCCGAGATTGTGCCACTGCACTCCGGCCTGGGCAGCAGTGCAACATTCCATCTTTTAAAAAAAAAAAAAATTGTAGGTGAATTATATACAAAATTTATTTATTTATTTTTATTTTGGTAACAGAGCAAGACCTTCTCACTTAAAAAAAACAGTGAACTCTATAAATTGCTCAAAATTGTATTAGAAACACTATATTTCGGCTTACCATCATTAATTTTTTTTTTTTTTTTGAGACAAAATCTCCCTCTGTTGCCCAGGCTGGAGTGCAGTGGCTTAATCTTGACTCACTGCAACCTCTGCTTCCTGAGTTCAAGTATTTCTCCCACCTCAGCCTCCCAATTAGCTGAGACTACAGGCATGTGCCACTACACCCAGGCTAATTTCTTTAGTAGAGACAGGGTTTCACCATGTTGGCCAAGATGATCTTGAACTTCTGACCGTAAGTGATCCTCCCGCCTTGGCCTCCCAAAGTGCTGTGATTACAAGCATGAGCCACCATACCCAGCCTACTTTAAAGAAAAGGGGTCTCACTCTGTCACCCAGGCGAGTGCAGTGACACAATCATAACTAACTGCAGCCTCCAACTTCTGAGGCTCAGGCAATGCTCCCTCTTCAGCATCCCAAGTAGCTAAGACTATAGGCATAAGCAACCATGTTCAGCTAACGTTTTCTGTATTTTTTTTAAGAGACAACATCTTGCTATGTTGCCCAGGTGACAATCATTAACTCTTAAAAAAATTAGACCTTCTTAGAAGTCACCATAATTTTGGCCAGGCACAGTGGCTCATGCCTATAATCCCAGCACTTTGGGAGGCTGAGGCGGGGGGATCACCTATGGTCGGGGGTTTGAGACCAGCCTGTTCAACATGGTGAAACCCTGTCTCTATTAAAAATACAACCAGGCATGGTTTCAGGCACCTGTAATTCCAGCTACTTGGGAATATGAGGCACGAAAATCACTTGAGCACAGGAGGTGAAGGTGGCAATGAGCTGAGATCACACCACTGCACTCTAGTTGAGTGACAGAGGGAAACTGTATCTCAATAAAAGGAAGAAAGAGAGGGAGAGAGAGCAAGAAAAAGGAAGGAAGGGAGGGAGAGAGGGAGGGAATGAGGGAGGGATGGGGAAGGGGGAAAGAGAGGAAGAGAGAAAAGAAAAGAGAAAAAACTTGGAGAGTGTAGTATCCTGGAAGCCAATGAAGAAAGTCTACAACCATGTCCAATGCTAAAACCAGGTGAGGTAAGGTGACGGCTCAGGCCACTGAATCCAGCAACATGAACATAACCTTTCCCACTAGGAGTCTGGGTGGGGCAATAGGGCAAAGCCCAGTGTGGGTAAATCCCAAAGACTCGGAGGACAGTGAGCACAGCCTACCCTTGTCCTAGAGAGTTTTACTGCAAAGGGGAAAAGGTGGGGGGAAATAGCCAAAGTGGTATAAGGGTCAAAGGAGGGAGATTGTTTAAGACAGGAGAAAACCTCTACCTTGTATGTTGATGAAATTAATTCAGAGGAATAGGGAGAAACTGATTATGCAGGAAATTAAATTCTCTTCTGTAGCAAAATTAAGTCCCATATTTCCCTCATGGCTTATACACACAAATCAGTGATTTGTTTCTGTAAATTAAACAAATTAACAATTTTAATATCTCTTAAATTAAAATCCTAGTTAACTAGCTGCTCTATGGAATAGCCATTCTTTATTCCTTTATTTTCTTTTTTTTTTTTTTTTTTTTTTTTTTTTTTTTTTTTGGTTTTTTTTTTTTTTTTTTTTTTTTTTTTTGAGACAGTTTCGCTCTGTCGCCCAGGCTGGAGCGCAATGGTATTATCTCAGCTCACTGCAACCTCTGCCTCCTGGGTTCAAGCAATTCTCCTGCGTCAGCTTCCTGGGCACCTGGGATTACAGGCACCTGCCACCACGCCTGGCTAATTTTTGTATTTTTAGTAGAGACAGGGTTTCACCATGCTGGCCAGGTTGGTCTCAAACTCCTGACCTCAGGTGATCCACTGCCTTGGCCTCCCAAAGTGTTGAGATTCTAGGCGTGAGCCACCGTGCCTGGCCCCCTCGAATTCTTTCCTTTGCAAGATCCAAGTACCCTCTCTTGGAGTCTGGATCAGGACCCCTTTCAGGTAACATATTTCTGGCAAACCACAGAAAGGATGATACTGAGGAGACCCACCCCACCACGCAAAGGAAACAGACTGCAGCACTGATTGACTCACTTTAGGACACAAGTAGAGAAACTGGTTATTTTGCCAAGGCTTTAACTGGAATGGCGTACGTTCCTTTCAGGAATTAAACTTAACTTATAGCACCAATACAAGCCCTTTGGGAAAACCGGCGTCATTCCTTGTCTACACAGTTCCTGACCTGTGTTGCACAGGCCTATGGAACACAAGAGAATGATCCCACTTATTCCTGCAAACCAACCAGTGATCTCTGGCTGCTGCTCAGAAGAAACAAGAGATGAATACTGTTAAAATCTGGATCAATATTCTAATTCTGGGCACATATTGGAATTGGCTAGCGACTCCTTATTAGGTTTTCAACAATTGCCTAGTTCATGGAAAACCTGCTAATTTAGTTTACTTGGGATAATTTTACTTTGTTTACTGTTATGTAATATATTGCTGTAATTATACTCTTTGTGTAGCAATGCAGGATAAGCTTACTAAATGTTTTCTTAAACTGAATACTTATGAATCTTCCAGATATTACCTTTTGTCGGAACTCAAGGGTTAAGAATGGCCTTCACCATACCAACGCTTTCTAACTGAGCTCCTCTCTACCCTGAATGCAAGAGGCCCAACATTCAGGAAGGAATATCATCACCCATGTTCAGCATAAAGAAGTTACAGAAGATGGATCTTCATCCCTCTGCAACCCTTAGGATTAAGGGTTCCCTTGTAAAAGGAATGGGGGAAATATGTCAGAGATGTTTGAACCACAGCAACTCCATCTTGAATAGGGGCTGGGTAAAACAAGGCTGAGATGTACCAGGCTGCATTCCAGATGGTTACCCATTCTAAATCTCAGGATGAGATAGGGGGTTGGTACAAGATACAGGTCATTAAACACCTTGCTAATAAAACAACATGCAGTAAAGAAGTCGGCTAAAACCCACCAGAACCAAGATGGCAACAAGAGTGGCCTCGGGTTCATCCTCACTGCTACACTCTCACCAGTGCCATGATAGTTTACAAATGCCATGGCTACATCAGATTACCCTAGATAGTCTTAAAAGTTTTAGGGAGGCATGAATAATCCACCCCTTGTTTAGCATATAATCAAGAAATAACCGTAAAAATGGGCAACCAGCAGCCCTCCAGACTGTTCTGCCTATGGAGTAGCCATCAGTTATTCCTTTAATATTACTATTATTTTTGGAGATGGAGTCTCACTCTGTTGCAGAGGCTGGAGTGTAGTGTTTTGATCTCGGCTCACTGCAACCTCCGCCTCCTGGGTTCAAGCAATTCTCCTGCCTCAGCCTCCCAAGCAGCTGGGAGTACAGGCATGCAACACCACGCCTGGCTAATTTTTGTATTTTTAGTAGAGATGGGGTTGTACCATGTCGGCCCAGGCTGATCTTGAACTCTTGACCTCAGGTTATCCACCTGCCTTGGCCTCTCAAAGTGCTGGAATTATAGGCATGAGCCACCGCACCCAGCCCCTTTACTCTCTTAAAACTTGTTTTCTCCTTAAAGAAAAAAAAAAGTCTTAGTTAACACATATGTCCCTAAAACTGGAGTGGGCCAGGCACAGTGGCTCACGCCTGTAATCCCAGCACTTTGGGAGGCTGAGGTAGGTAGACAACAAGGTCCAGAGTTCAAGACTAGCCTGGCCAACATACTGCCCAAAGTAATTTACAGATTCAATGCTATCCCCATCAAGCTACCAATGACCTTCTTCACAGAGCTGGAAAAAAACACCTTAAACTTCATATGGAACCAAAAGAGAGCCCATATAGCCAAGTCAATTCTAAGCAAAAAGAACAAAGCGGGAGGAATCACACTACCGGACTTCAAACTATACTACAAGGCTACAGTAATCAAAAAAGCTTGGTACCGGTACCAACACAGATATATAGACCAATGGAACAGAACAGAGGCCTTGGAGGCAACACATCTACAACCATCCGATCTTTGACAAACCTGACAAAAGCAATGGGGAAAGGATTCCCTGTTTAACAAATGGTGTTGGG